AGGTGACCTGGGGAAGTTGGGGGTGGGGGGTGGCTATCTTGCCAGAAAGTCAGGGAAGGGAGGCACGTTCGGCCAGGTAGAGGGAGCGGGCCAGAGGGTCCTACATAACGAGCCCTGCCGCTCCAGGAATATTTGCTGAGGGAATGCATGGATGGATGGATGGATGGACGGATGGACGGAAAAATGGATGGCTGATGGGAGGGGGTGGATTGGAAGATCCAGACAGGAAGCAGGGGGCCAGTGAGGAGTCTAGAGCAACTGTCCAGGGGAGGAAGTGGGACCTAAACCTGCAGATTAGGAGCAATGAGCGAGAAATGGGAGGTGAGCCTTATAGAATCCTGTGACCTAGAGCCTCTCCTCGCGCCATCTCTCCCAATCCCATCCATGTCCTGACTCCGTGCCCTGCAGATGCCCCTCTGCATCTCCCAGTCTTGCCCATTTCCCCTGGCTGCCCCAGCCCTGCTTCCACTGGGAAGTCTGACTGACACCATAGCTCTCCCTTACCCTGCGGCGCCACCTCCCCTCCCCCTCCCAGTTTAACCTTCCATTTGGAGAGGGCTGCAAATTTGGAGAACCATCTGCGGCTCCTGATGTCAGGCCCATCTGGGACCACGGAACACCTCTCGGCAGGGGTACGATGGGATGAAGGTGAACCCGCCTACCCAGCACAGGTGGGATCTCTCTGCCCCCATATGACCCACTCGTTAGCCCTCCGAAGACAGCATCTGATGGTAAAAATTGGGGCTTGGAGCCCAGATTGTTGGGAACAGGAATGGCGTCTCTGGGGATGGTCCCTAGATTCCCATGGAGCAGAATGTGAGACTCTTCACCGGGAGGTTTGCAAAAGCCCTTACTTACAGATGCCATCAGAACAAAAACTCTCTGAAGCAAAAGAGTTTGGACCCCATCAGAGCCTCAGATCCATGGAACCAGGCCTGCCCAAGTGTGCAGCACAAACTGAATGAGGCCCGAGGAAGACAAGACCCCATCCTTCATAGGCTGCCCGCGTGAGGGAGGTCTCATCCACACCCCTTGGAGGCACTGCGTTTATATCAGTTGACTCCTTTGGTTGCTTGTGTAAAAACGGGATTTGCCGGACTGGAAAGCCCAAGCTGGAGCTTCAGATGGGGCAGGGTCGAAGGGCTCCGGTGAAATCGTCGGAAGTTTGCCCCCCAGATTACAATGATCAGAAAACAAAGTTTCCCGAAACAGAAATCGAAGGAGGAATGGATTCCGGGGAAGCAAGCGACCAACGACTTACCTCCCGTGCGCTAGGCGGCTGTCGTTGGCTTTGCTCGTTTATGGAGGAGAACCAGCCTCGGAAAGGGGAGATCATGCTCACGGTTAAGAAGTTCCCAGGAGGCCTTCCTGGATACCCTCTCGGACAGCCTGACCCTTGGTAGCACTGGCTTTAATTAAAATCACACTCAGAGCCAACCCGTCTGGGACTATCTGAGGGGACAGAAAGCAGCCTGTGTGTGTGACCTCAGATGGGACGGGCCCGGAGGAAGAAAGGGCTCCGTCCTCACAGCGCTCTGTGGGGGTTATTCTGAATAATGGTAAGTACCATGTATTGAGCACTTTCTTCACAGCAGGCATGATTCTAGGTCCTTCGTGTGTCTTCAATCTCTCCAGCAACGCCGTGAGGTTGGTGCTGTTGTTGAGTTATGGAAACTGGGGCATCATGTGGCCTTAGCTCAGAGGAGGTGACCAGTCAGTGCTGCTGTTTATCATTATCATCAGAGGACCTTTAAGCCTCAGATTCTGTGGGTCTCTCCAGGACTCGATGTCCCCACCCACAGCTCTTGCCATGTCTCAAAGACTCAGTTTCTACCACGTCACGGAACCAGCACGTTCTAGTCCCTTTCTTCTCTCTTCCCCTCACTCTGCTCGGAGAAAACAAGGCCAGGGTTTGGAAAAGGGTCATCCTGTACTCAGACTCATGGGATGACACGTTAGTGACTGGGGGTGGGTGTCCGTTTAGGTGCCAAGGGACGGCAGCGTCCCAGAAAGATTGCTGACTTTGTAGTTCTGTTACTCCTACAAGATTATGATGTGAAAAAAAGCCTCCAAGAGTCGTGCAACGCGCAACCTTCACAACCTTATGTGGCAGGCCCAGCCGAATGTCCCTGACTGTAAAGGGAGAAGAACGGGGTCTGTCTCAAATTGCTGCTGAAAGAATTGAGTGAGCCAACATTTGTAAAATGTTTGGCATGTGGCCTACATAAAGTGGGTGCTCAAAAATAAAGATAATTATGGGGCCGCCCGGGTGGCTCAGTTGGCTAAGCATCTGACTCTCGGTTTGGGCTCAGGTCATGACCTCACGGTTTCGTGAGTTCGCGCCCCGCCTTGGGCTCTGTGCTGACCGCGCGCGGAGCCTGCTCGGGATTCTCTCTCTCTCTCTCTCTCTCTCTCTCTGCCCCTCCCTTCCTCCTGCTGTCTCTACCTCTGTCAAAATAAATAAATAAACAAGATTAAAAAAAAATAATGATAATATTGCATGAAATTGTCTAAGGTCGGGAAGGCTGAGTGCAGATTCAAACCTGCCAGCAAAGTAATACTTTTCGCTGTGTGCTTGGGATCCCATGACAGAAAGCCTGAAAGGAATGGAATGATTTACCCACCTTTGTTCTAGTCCACAACTGATTTAGCCCCAAACCGATGCCAGACAGATCTTGGGTAACCCAAGTTGTTGACAGATAGAAGGGAGTATATGTGGATGCAAGGAAGGGTACACGGACAGAGAGCGAATGAATGGGGAGTAGACGGGTGGGTAGGCGGAAGGAAGGATGGGTGCTGGACTGGTGGCCGGAGGAAGGGTAAATTGGCAGATGGTAAGACGGAAGGCTGGATGTGTGGGTAAGTGGGCAGGTGCCTGAATACTTGGATGGGTAAATGAGTGGGTCAGCGGAAAGACAGATGGAAGAGGGGGTAAGTAGCTAGAAAGGAAGATACTAGAACACGCTGAGAGAAGCACAGGCGGCGAATATCTCTGGCCCTCTGGCCACCTCCCCCCAGTTGCCTTTTCCAGTGGAAAATGGAAAATCACGGGCCCTGGGAAGACATTTCCCTGTGTGGTCTGTTAATAGAGGCCCAGAAAGGCCAGCCAAGGCTGAAAGCTCACCCCCTACCGGGACCCTGTTATTAGCCATGTTCCCCTACCCTGGCCCTTGGGTGAAAGTATGGGCTGGTGGCCACTGAGGAGCTGGGCCCACCCAGGCCCCTCATTAAGCCTTATTAAGCCCTCAGAGTGGGAGGAAGGAGGGGAGGAGACCTTTCTCACAAAGGTCAGCGGTTGGAAAGAGAAGGTACAGATGTTCTCTGGGGTGGTCATCCACTATGGAGCCATGAGGAATGTGGAAGTTTCCTTGGCCCAACCTGCTCCACCTCCGTCTTGCAGGTTGGGGAACCAAGGCCCACACAGGAGGGAAAAGGGACACACCCAGAAGTCAGGACAGAGCCACCCTTAAACTCAGGTCTCCCAACTCACAGGCTGCAGCCTTGCCTCTCTCTGAAATCTGCAGCCTTAAGATTGACATTGGAGATAGAAAGGAATGGGCAGGTGCGGGGCTCCTACGTATGCGAAGCCCCCGGGCCAAGCATTTCCTGTCCACGAAGCCTCCGGTCTCCTCTGCGCCCCCACTGGTAATGTGGAAACGATTTGTTTGTCCTTTCATTGATGCAACAAGCCCTCATTCAATGTCTACTCTGGGCCAAACACTGATCGAGGCACAAGGAGTATGGCATTAGCTAGCTAAACAAGGTTTCTACCCTCCCAGAGCTTACCTTCTAGAAGGGGATGGAGATCATAAACAAGCAGATAAATAACATGTACTATGAAGACAATCTAATAGGGATTAGGAGATATACAGCAACGGAAGGGACAATTTTGGGATGGGACGGCTGGGGAGGCAGGGCCTCTCTGAGAAGGTGACCACGGCCAAGGTAGGCAATTGTAAGGTCCGTGTTCCCTGTTGCCTGTACGGTTGGAGCTGGGACGTGGCTGCCCACAGTGGCCCTGCGACCAGGCCGTTCCTGCCAATGGGATAGGAGCGGAAGCGATAAGTGGCCTTGCAAACCTAGGCTTCCAGCTGTGGTTGGGCGTCCCCCATGCTCTCTTGTCTCTTCCCATGGCTGAAAGCAAGGGATGAAAGAACCTGGATCCCGGCATCATCATGTGGAGCAGAGCCACCACTGTGTGGCCACAGTCACTACGTAAGTGAGAAATACACTTTTAGCGCGCTTGAGTCATCGCACGTTTCAGGGCCTTTTTGTCACAGCACTCCAGCCTAATCTAGAGCATACCACATGTTTGAACTGAGACCCTAGAGACCACATGGCAAAGTGGGCTAGGGCATCACAGGCGGACAATGGCGAGCGGAGAAGCCTCAAGGCAGGACCAAGCTTGGCTTTATCGGAGGAACAGAAGGGACACTGGTGTGGCCCGAATGAATGAAGAGGGGAAACGTGGGGGCAGTGGCCTGTCGGGAGTCCAGCTTTTAGGAGAGGCCACTGTCAATGGGGCCATAAGCAGGGGAGAAACCCACCTTGGTGTGCATCTTGAAAAGATCCCCCCTGGCTGCTGTGCAGAGATGAGCAGGAGCGGCAAGGGGGAACAGGGAAGGGCTGGGGCGGTCGTGGCAGGAGATGATGGTGGCCTGGATGAGGCCAAGGGCAAGAGAGAAGGAGTAAAGGGAATTGATTTAGGGTATATTTTGGAGGCGTTGCTGATTGGGGGGGGGGGGGGGCAAGAGAAATGAAATAATCCACAAGCCACTGGACAAAATCTAACGCGGAAGCCAATGCAGATCAATAGGCATTGGGAGGGTATTATCCCAGCTCACAGCCTCCTCTCCCGAGAGCCTTCCACCCACAGGAACTCTGCTTAGTTCATAATCTGGCCCCTCCCCTGCGGCTGAATAGACTGGAGATGAGCTCATAATTGGGGCTCAGCCAATCAGACCCCAGGGCCCTGTCCCTGACAGAGACCCCAGGGAGATGTGGTTGCCCGCCCATCCACCCATCCCAGCGGAAAGAAAGCGTGTAGCCACAAATGGAGTCAACCTCCCTCCACCCCGGCCGGAAGTGCCCCCAGCCAAGCAGGGACCGGCTACCCTTTGCAGATCCTTGGCCTGGCCCGGCAGAAATGGGTGTCCCAGGGCAGAGGATGGGAGGGGCGGGCCAGGCTTCTGGGCCACAGGCTGTACGCGTGCGATCAGAGACCAGTTATCCCCTGGGAAGAGGGAAGGCGCTTCTGTTTCCCCGTCTGGCGAGTGGCTTTCTGTGGCACATCGTATCTTCCCCAAACGGCCACGAGAGTATTTCTTTTTCCCACGTGCTCTTCGAGAACCCTGCCACTCTCCTCCACCAAGAGGGGGAGTCCACATCCGGCCTCTCCGCGGTTGGGCGTGCAGGTTCTAGAGGCTCCCTGGGTTCTTTCACCTCGGTTCCTGCGCCTGTAAAGTGAGGATGCCAGTAACAGCAGGTAAATGTTAAGGGGAGCCCCATAAGGACGGGGATTCTGGCTGTTCCCTGCCCTCTCCCCAGAGCCCAGAACAGTGCCTGGCCTATAGTTGGTGCTCAATGAATAGCTGTTGAATGAACGCCTCTGAATCTAATTTTTAGTTCTGTGCTTGGCACAAAGCAGCTGTTCAATAAATGCTGGTCCTCCTCACCCCTCCCAGCCTCTCCATCCTGCCAGCCCTGTTTCCACCTGCTCCGGGGAGCCCTCCTGGGCTTCACAGCATCCACTGACGGCCCTGTGGCCCTAGGGTCTTTGCTGCCCCAGGCAAAGTTCTCCACTGATGTCCTCAGCCCATCTCTCACGTGCTTCGCCCTATCTGTTGCCAGAAAGCGGGGACTAAAACCAGCCCAGAGAGGAACCCCAGCTTCCCTGCCCACCAGTAAACCCCAGGCCATACACACTCTTGCCCCTGGACAGACCGTGGGGGATGTTCCACGTCGCTGAGGCCAGATGCCAGGGGACCCTCCCCTCCCCCACCCCTCCTGGCTGCAGGGGCTGCTGTCCCACCAGGGCCAGGGCCATCCCCCATGCGTGATTCCAACATCTGTAATACTTTCCCCTCTCCTTGTGGACCTCCTCCTCCAAATTCCTCCCGCTTCATTATTAGTATATATAAAAAATAAAAAAAATTAAGCTGTCTTAATCATTTTCCATATTAGCTGACAGCCGGCTCCCATATGCCTGGGAATGAGACCATTTCTCCTGTGCCCCCCTCTGCTTTTCCAAAATAACTAACCCCAAACAAGGCCCGGTTGTCAAAAGCCCTCCGGGTCGGATACAATCCACAGCCCTGTCTCCTCGGGGTCCTGGCTGGCTGGCGTGGCCTGAGTCGGAAGCAAAGGATAGAGGTTGTCTTGTGTCCCCAGGGCTGATCAGGGTGCACTCATGAGCTGGAAGTCTCTATTCTTGCTTTGTCTGTTTTGTCCAGCCCAGAAAAGGAAAGGGCACGACCTCTGGAGCAGATGGGTTGGTGTTCCAGCGCCGGCTCGGCCGGCCTCCAGCTGTGCAACCTTGGGCAATCCACTTAACCTCTCCGAGCCTCAGGTTCCTCATCTGTAAAATGGCAGAAACAATAGCCCCAACTTCTCAGTGTTGGGATGAGGGGTCAAGGCGACTATGATGACAACTCCAGCGAGAGTAACGGTTACTAGCCACGCATACCCTGCTGTACGACGCGCACCGAGCCAGGCCCCTACCTGTATCCCTGACAGTCAGTCTGCACAACAACCCGCCTTCCGGACGGGGAACAGAGAGGCTGAGAGATCGCAGATCTCCCCCTGGGAACAAGCAGCAGAGATGTGGAAGAGCTGGGATTCTAATGCGGGCATCCTGACCCCGGCCCCTGCAATCTTCAGGTCCCCTTCCGGTGCTTCTGTAGATGCTCCGTAACAGCTCGGTCCCCCCCTCCGTCCCAGCTTCACCTTATCTTTCTCTCTCTCTTGGCCTTCAACCCGAGCTCTGCTGTCTTGTCCCCGCTGCCCCCCACCCCATGCCTGCTGGGCTGTGGGCGTCGGGAGGGTGGGTAGGGGCCCAGGGCCCAGGCGTGATCGACTCAGGAGGGCCCGGCTCCACTCCGACCACTTGTCAGCATCCCCTGGGAGCACTAAAAAGCATGGACACCTGTGTCCCAGCCCTGGCGGTGAAGGGCTAGAGGTTCTGGGCTGAACTTGAACTGAAAGAGAAGTTCCGAGCCAGAAGGGGATATACTATTTCTCCAGACCTCAAGTTGGAAGACTGTTTCTGTTTTTGCTTATTGTGAGCCAAACTGCTTTTTTTTTTTTCTTGACCAAAAAAGGATGACGAGTTGGTTCATAATAGAAGCCCCCAAGAATTCTCCTAGAATTTATCCAAAATATATCCCTTGGCTAAAATACTAGAATATTTATGTTGCTATTGGCCTGTCATAAAGACTTGCAATATTTCCTCTACACCCTCGATCTATACCCCCATAGGTCCAGCTTCTCCACATGGAAAATTCTTTCTAAGACAGGCACTTTGCATATGTAATTCCTCATCCTTTCTAAAGCCCTGGGTGGGGGACGTATCATTTCTCTCCATTTTACAGATGAGGAACCAAGGTTCAGAGTGGTTAAATGATCTGTAACAGTCACACCTGGATTTGAACCCAGGTCCCAACTGCAGAGCCATGGTTTTGCTGACGCAGCCTCTCCAGGAGGCCGGTGGTCCCACCAAGAGACAACCCCGTCCCACGGTCCTGACCCACAGCGTGCGAACCCTCCCACCTTGAGCCGGGCTGGCCTCCGCCCGGAGAGACGGCACCGCATCCAGCTGCCTGGGCTCAAATCGTAGCGCAGCCCTTCACTAACCATGACACCTCGGGCACATCCTTTACCGCCTCAGCTTCTACTCTCCCCTTTGTTCAGTAGAAATACCGTCTCCCGTCTTGCAGGGCTGTTCTGTGGAACGAAGCCATCCCGTACGTAGAGGGCTGGCACAGAGCGGCCAGAATCCTTACTCCACTTCTAAGTCCCGAAGTGGGGCACACCGAGCAGGTGCTCAAAAATCGCTCCTTGGTGGCAAACGGGAGGCTCGAAACAACAAAAACAAGAAACTAGAAAGAAATGTGACAAAACATTGGCAATAGAGCCTTCTGGGGATGAGATGACGGGTGATTTTGTTGTCTTCTTCGGGATTTGTTTTTCCCCAGGCTCTCAGATGGAAAGAACATTACACCGTGTTTCCCTAATTCTGGGACGGCGTGAGCTCTGATATGCACCATCGACGGCATTTTTTTTTTTCAGAGGAAAGGAGGAAATGCTACCGTTCGGAATTGTAAGACTTCTCCCGATTTTAGAAAAGTTAACGTCTATGGAGGAAGGCTTCTTAGGTCAAGGAAATAGTGTGGAACCAAGTAATCACAGTGGGGGCCGTCAGCAGGGGAGAATAAAATTTATTTTTATTTTTATTTTTTAATTTTTTTTTAACGTTTATTTATTTTTGAGACAGAGAGAGACAGAGCATGAACAGGGGAGGCGCAGAGAGAGAGGGAGACACAGAATCGGAAGCAGGCTCCAGGCTCTGAGCCGTCAGCCCAGAGCCCGACGCGGGGCTCGAACTCCCGGACCGCGAGATCGTGACCTGGCTGAAGTCGGACGCTTAACCGACTGCGCCACCCAGGCGCCCCCTTAAAATTTATTTTTAAAAGACGCCTGGGGGCGTGAGTTCACGCCCCGCACCCGGCCCTCTGCTGTCAGCTCAGAGCTCGGAGCCTGCTTTGGATCCTCTGTCCCCCTCTCTCTGCCTCCACCCCCCCCCCAAAAAAAAAAAAAAATTAAAAAAGAAGAAGAAGAAAAAGATACATCACTTTCCAGAACCCCAGAACGTCAGCTTAATGCTGCCAGCACGCATCTGACTGACCTGGGCCCTGTCCCGGTCCTCAAAACCCAGCATCTCTGGGCTGGGACCCGAGAATCTGTATTTTGTGCTAACAGAGCAGATCCTAGAAACCGTGCTGGAAACAAATCTCCCCCTCCTCCACTTTCTGTCCCCATCTTACAGATGGGAAATCTGAGTCCCTGAGAGGAGTCATTAGGACCCTCTAACATACATGAATGGCACAAGCAACCAATCCCCACAAAGGGTCTTCCTCACCCCCTACCCCAGCCCTTCCCCCGCTCATTGTTCTGCCCACCCTGAGATGTTTCTTCCCTCTTTCCCTAAGGGAGTGTCCCCTGTTCTTCATTAGGAGATTCTGGGTATTTTTGTCTCTCTGAGTACAGTATTCTATTGCCAGCAAATAATTTTAAATAGAAAAAACATGCCCCCAAATTAAACTGGAAAACAGAAAATAAGTAGGAAGGGAGTGAGTTGAGTGCCTGCTCTCTTGGTGAAGCGGGTGGGCTCCAAGCCTCCTCTCCCACACCTCTGAGATGGGATCATAGCACCCACCTCCCGCGTACCATGAGGACCAGGCGAGAAGTGCAAGAGATACACTGTGCACGGAGCATCTGTGTTCATTCCCGTCCACAGTTGCTTGATAAGTGACTACTTACCTGCTCTTCGGACTTTGAGATAATCATGTGAAGGAAATGGCGAGGGACCCAAAGTCCTCTACTTGGCTATTTCCCTATCAAGAGCCGTTTTATTTGTTTACTTTTTACTACTTATTTATTTTGGGAGAGCGCGCGCGTGCAAGTGAGTGAGGAGGAGGGGCAGAGAGAGAAGACAGAGAATCTCAAGCAGGTTCCGAGCCACCAGCACAGAGCCCGACTCGGGGCTCGAACTCACCGACCGAACCGTGAGATCGTGACCTGAGCCAAGATCAAGAGCCGGATGCTTAACCAACTCACCCGGGCCTTCCATCAAGAGCCGTTAAAAAATTTTAAAAATTAATTCAAATTAAATTAAATTAAACTTAATTAAAACTAAAACATTACATTAAAATTAACATTAAAAAATGTTAAAAAATTTTTTTAACATGTGTTTATTTTTGAGACAGAGAGAGACGGAAAGTGGACACGGGAGGGGCAGAGAGCTACGGAGACAGAGAGACTCCAAAGCAGGCTCCTGGCTCCAAGGTGTCAGCACAGAGCCCAATGCGGGGCTTGAACTCACGAATCGTGACATCACGACCCGAGCCCGAGTTGGACACTTAACCCGCGGAGCCACCCAGGCGTGATCAAGGGTCATTTTAATTTTTTTTTTTTTAACATTTATTTATTTTTGAGACAGAGACGGAGCATGAACGGGGAGGGGCAGAGAGAGAGGGAGACACAGAATCGGAAGCAGGCTCCAGGCTCTGAGCCGTCAGCCCAGAGCCCGACGCGGGGCTCGAACTCACGGACCGTGAGATCGTGACCTGAGCTGAAGTCGGACGCTCAACTGACTGAGCCACCCAGACGCCCCTCAAGGGTCATTTTAAAACAGGCCATCCGATGTCAACTGTTCACAGCTCAGAATGACTTTCCAAAAGCCTAACACAGAGCCTATGTTCCTCCAGCTTTAGAACTTTCCAACCCTCCCCATTGTCTATAAAACACAGCGAACCCGCTCAGCCTCAGAATCCCCCTGGGACAGAGGCCCTGAAGGGTTTCCAATGTCAAGTTTCACCTTCCTTTACCTTCCTTGCACCCTCTGCCCTCCCACCGACGTCTACCTCCTTTCATCCCCCAGGGAGGAGTCAGGTGTGGAGTTAGGTTAATCCGAGGCCTTACTCAGCCACACTTTTGTCACTGGTCAGAGCGAGACCCTCCCTTATTTTATTACCTGTCCCTCTCGGGCCCTGTTCCCGCTGTCATCTCCCTGCACCTCAGCAACCCCTCTAACACACCTGGCAAATGCTATTAAATATGCACATGGCCTCAGAGATTATGCGATGTTGTGCTCTGCATGTGTGTTTTTAATTTCACCTAAATGCTATTACTAGAATTGTTTCTTGTCTTTCCCACTCAACCAACACTGGTTTAAGATCTCGCTTCCATGTACGTTGCTTCTCACTCCTGCATCGTCTGCCACCGGGAGCCTCCTCCATGCTTTACCTGCCTCTTCCGCTGGGGCCGGAGGAAATAACACTCTGGACCATACGTCATGCAAGAGAACTTAACAGCTTCTGCTTATCACGTGGGCCGGTCACTGTATGTTCATGTACTGTGGCCCTTTAGAAGACCACAAACCATCGTAGTGTCTGCCATTTTTTTCAATCACCTCCACCAAAGAAATGGCCACCCCCTTGGCGAAGATGTTGCCCCCATTGGGAATGCATCAGCTGAGGCCATTTCCCTCGTGTGATTGGCTAGAACATGGACCGGTGAGGTTGATGTGGACAATAGATGTGAGAGCCACAATGGGGGAAACAGTTCTTTTTCCACCTTTGTGCTTATCATGGCTCGGTGTGATGTCTGGATCTGCGGCAACCATCTTGTGACTACGAGGACAACCTTGATGTGCTTCCGGTGGCCAAATAGGGTACCAGAACCTAGACCACTGATCATATTGTTGAACAAAGTAATCATCCCTGAAGGTGCCCTAGCCGTGAACTCCCTGTTACATGAAGTAATGCATTTTCTCTCATCGGTTAAGCCTGTCCAACTGTTTTGTCGTTGCCTTTGTTGTTTGTTTTGCTTTGTTTTGTAATGGCAGCTGAAGGCATCATAACATTCTGTTCTCTTTCCCAGTAAGTTCTAGCGAATATCCCGAGGCAGAGGCTCACCGACCCTGATGGGCCAAGAGCCCATCCCCAAACTAACCACGTAGCAGGCTTGGGTCCTGTGCCCACCTACCCTTGTGGCTTAAGGGTAGGAAGGGATTCACCACACCTCGACCTAGAGTGGGGGCCGTTCCTCAGAGGGAGACCAGCAAGGTGTTTCCCAAAGAGGTCATGAATGCTAAGAGGGTAGAGAGGACAGCTGGGTTCCACACCCACCCTGCCCCTTCTGCAAGGAGTCCCTTCCAGTGCCCCACCCCTCCCATCCCCCAGTCCCCACACTCGTCTTCATTGAACTCACAGCATCCTCTGCTGGAAGCTGTCCCCAAGACCCAGCTGAAGCTGACCACTACCCTGGTGGTGCCTCATGGGGCATTTGTAGTCTACCTTGGCCCTTGAGTGGCCAGTCTTCACAGCATGCAACTATCCATCCACCCATCCACACAACAACCATCAACTAGCACTTTCGATGGCCACCCACAGGCCTTGGGGTACCAAGGAAGAATAAGACAGAATTCACATCCTCAAGGATTTCACAGTCCGAGGGAGGAAGCCAGACTCACAGACCTTCATTCCATCCACATTCATTGGGCCCTTCTCCATGCTGGTTCTCAGGCACAGAGACGAGTAAGATATTCCTTCCCAAAGAAAGAGGAAGTTCCCCAGCTGGGGGACAGACAAAGCACAAAGAAGTAAAGTGCATAACAGGTGCAGAAGCCACGCCCACTGATCGCTCCCACTGGGAAGAGATGACAAGATGCCTTAGACAATCTTGGCCCTGGGGGGGGTGCCCTGACTACGTATATGCCAGGGAAGTTGGGCGCCATTTGCCAGGGGTCAGGTGCAGCCAATGCCTTTGTGGCCTGACCGAGGCCACCCTTCCCCTCACCCCGGGTCTGCGGGGCTCCTGCCCC